GTGTCAATTTTAGAACTTATTTCAGATTTTGTCATGTCCTTACTGTTTTTTATGATAAGTTCCTTATTCTCTGAACTTGGGGTCTTTGACCTCATGGTGGGGGACGAACAATTACTTGTTACAGGTTTGCTTTCTTCCACATTACTTAAAACATCACTTTTTGTTTCCAGGAGTTTCTTCAATAAAGTACAATTTTGTACTGAAGGTGAATGCTGTTGCTTGATAATCATTTTAGATTCAGTGCAATCTGGAGTCAAACTTTTACTATCTTCCAATTTCACATCAGCATTAGCTGTGTCACATAATAAATCTATGTGACATGTCCCGTCTAGTTTATTTAAATAACATTCTGTTTTTTCTGCATCTAGGGATACAATTTCTTGAGATACAGTGGTGTCACATGATGTCATCTTTTTCATTGTTTCAATGGTGACAGGTTCTAAATATGCATTATGAACATCAGGATCTGCTTCGTTACTATTCGCAACACAGTTTTGTTTTGGCAAAAGTGACAGGTTTGTCTGAACTTCTGTACTTTTCGGATCAACAATACTAAAAGTATTTTCAACCATGGCAGAGTCATATTCTTTAGATTCAATAGTTTTAATATTAGAAACTTCTTTTACAGATTTTGTGGTTATTTTAAAATTGCTTTGGGAAAGAATAGGTATGTTGTCACCTACACTGTTAATATGTTTTTCATTGTCTCCACATTTATCAAAATTAGCAAGTTTTTCACTGTTACCTGAATCAACTGTTTTCATATTAATTTTCATAACAAGTGGTGGATTTTTAACTACCGTTTCTTCACAATCATCATTAATTCTGTTAACTTCTTCAGGTTTCAAAACAGGCTTGATATTTATTTTAGTAACAATTGGTATAATAGAATTTCTGTGTTCTAAACTCCGTGAACTTTCTTTTTTAGGTGATAAAGTAGAAGTATTTTCTTCTGGCTTCATGATAGGTTTTATATTAATTTTAGATACTACAGGAATACTGTCCACATTTGATATACTAGGTCTTGATTCTTCTGATTCACTTGGTTTTAAAATAGGTTTTATATTTATTTTGGTTACCACAGGTATGTTGTCTGTATTATCATCACTTGAATTTCCTGTTTCCGAGGATTGATTCTCTGAAATTTCACCTTTTGATATATCTTCATCTTCTGGCTTAATTATAGGCTTAATATTAATTTTCGTAACAATAGGTATATTATTTTCATCTAATTCAACTTTAGGATCACAGTCTTTTTCTTCAATATCTGGTTTTTTTATTGGTTTTATATTTATTTTTGTAATTTTAGGTATCTCTATATCTTCTTTGTTACAATCTATCTCATTATCTTTAGGTTTAATTACAGGCTTAATATTTATTTTTGAAACTACAGGAACCTTATCGTCCAATTTTTCTGTTATATCTGCACTATCTGTAGGTTTAGGAATCGGTTTAATATTCAATTTAGTTACAGCAGGCATTTGTTCATATGTTTCATTAGAGCTTACTTTTTTTAAATTTTCTGTATTTAAAATGGGTTTTATAGTAATTTTGGGTATGTGACGATCTTTCCCCTCTATTGTTGATGTAAAGGATTCTGTTGATATTTTAAGTTTTGGTATTTGTTGAATGTCTGTCAATTCACTGCAACTAGCACTATCCTTCGAAGCAGTTTCTGGCGGCTTAATTGGTTTGATTGTAAGCTTAGGACTAAGTGGCTGGCTTTCAGATTTCGCCACTGTTTTTATTGTTAACTTGGGTATTTTTTCAGTTTGAGAATCATCACTTTGACTGATGACAAGTTTCAATGTAGGTAAGCCGTCTGGATTGTCATTTTCATTTTGTTGGATTCCTTTTATTGTTAGTTTCGGTATATTTTTTTCTGTGTAAAATTGCCCTTCAGCTTCAGTGCCTGCTTTCCCCAATTTAATAGTAACTTTTGGCACAATATCTGCTGGTCCTTGATCTGAAGCTGAGGCCTGATCTGATGTGCTTGTACTTTCGTCGTTTTCCGAACATTCGGACTCAGATATTTCACTACTGCTAGATTTTCGATGTTCATCATTTATTTTTACAGGTCTTTTGGGTATAGGTTTAATATTTAATTTAGTTATACAAGGTATTTGTTCTTGAAAATCAGTTTTGTTTTCTTCATCAGAAGGTGGTCTGATTGGTTTTATTGTTAACTTGGGTACAGGAGGTTTAGTTTCCTCTGGTTGTTTATTGCCTAATTTAATAGTGAGTTTTGGTACTTGTTTGGCAGATTCTGATTCATCATTAACAATATTACTGCAGCTGCTGTCACTTTTTTCCTCAGAGAGCTTTGTAGTTGACTCTGCTGTCTCATTTGCACTACTTACAGAGAGATTTAATTTTATTGGTGGAATTTTCTTCAGATCTTTCAAACTTTCTTCTAGTTCTAACTTGTTACTTGAGCTTTCATTTAATTGTAACTCAGTATTACTTTCTTCCATAGGACTTTCATTCAATATTATTGTTGATTCACCAGGTCTGTTTGAAACAGTGTCTATGCTAATCTTATTATTATCCAATATTTCTTTATTAATAACTGATATTGATGTACTTATTACATTTATCTCCGAAGTAGATTCATTTGGTAGGATTTCAGATGTAGATTGACATTGCTCCCTAAGAGGTGATTTCTTTACATGAGAACTGTCTGTATAGGTTACTTGGGGAAGTACTTTTTGTCTAATGAGTTTAATTTTTTTAGTAGGACTTGATGTTTCTGCTTTGCAGATACTAATTTCGCTTACATTTCTAATCTCATCTGGCTTTACATTACCATGTAGAGGTGGCACCGCATCTGATGAACTGGACACATCTTTGACAATACACTCGTTACTCAATTGTTCGTGAGCTTCAACATTAATACTTTGCAAGTCCACTGTAGAGGAGACAGTGGAGTCAGGACGGCGGTCACTTGGCGCGGGCCTTACCAGGCGCCGCCGCAATGGTTTTGTCACACTCTCCGAAACTGGCACTCTATCACATAAACTAGTGTCACTTGATGAACATTCCGCACTCCCTACAACAACATTGTCTTGGATATCACTGGACGTAACACATTTCACTGTCCGTTCACATGTTTCCTCATTCCTATCAGAAACACTTTGGTCCATGTGCACAACACTGCTGGCAGGAATACTAGGATTTGGGCTGCTTGGAAGCGACACAGAATTGGAAGCTTCAGTATCATGAGGAGTTGTTAACTCTGCATTGTTTTCACTTACTGTTATATGACATGCCTCTGGAAAATCAGCAATTTCTTCTAACGTATTGTTAGAAGAACTGCCAATATTATCTTCTTCTTTTGGGCTTTCGTCAGTTTTAGATATTAAAGCCTGTTCAGAATTTGATGGTTGTGTTAAAGAATCTTCAGACTCACAGTGAGATGTTTGTATTTGCTCATCTAAACGATTGTTAGATTGACCTATGGGAGCGTATTCAACATTTTCCACCGTAAGTGGGACACGCTTAGGAGCCCCAGGGCCGTCAACGATTTCATCGATCATGTCAAGGATCGCTTCAGTACTGGTGTTGACGTCTTGCGTCGATGGCGAAGGAACGCTATCGCCATCAAAATTATCCTCAGACATCGCTGGAGTTTTGCAGGAATCTCGAGCTTCCGATGAATCTTGCTGAAAACTACCAGTTGCACAGTTGTCCTCAGCTTCCCCGATATCTTTTTCCCGCGCCGATGGGCGGCGGGAAGCGTTTGTTGCGGTTCCCGCATCATCTTCTGAACTCTCCATTATCTACTCTTTTGCGACGCTGTCATATCTGAAATATAAAACGCTCGCTGGGTGATATTTACGTTACGAATGGGTAACCTGTCGACGTGCGAGCTTGACAAACCACAGGCACCATTCTAATTCACCATAACGCTACAGAAATTTGTTCACAGAGTTCATGGTGTCGATTATTGTACCTACACATGTACTTTATTTTCATATTCACACCGTTTACGTGTCGCCCGAGTAGACACGGGGCCTCGAAAACTAATCATTCAACAGCGTAAACCGGCAAACAAAAAGCTTGTATACGCCATTTTTAAAACCAAAGACATGGCAGGTTTGGCTATACGAGCCAATAAAAAATATCTTATACGGACAATTCGGCCATTGTCGTGTTGGTAAACTGCAAGAAGCCCATAGATCGCTCCACTTGAGCTTTTTAGCTTGTAGAAGAGTAATAAATATGCTTTTAGACATGTGGTAAAACGAGTAGGATAATAGCTCTCAAACATTAAATTGATTATTTCATATGGCAATGATATTGTTTTCGTTTAAAGTGTTGACAGCTTACAATCTTGTTTCGTCACTTTGCGCTACTTATGTTGCCTGTTACTAAATATTTTAAAATATGAAAATGGCTACCAACTGGTGTAATGTCACATATTTGTTAATAAATTATTGTCTTCCTTGTTATATGCAATAAATTTTTAACATCATATGATAACTTTTGACTTTTAAGCGTTGAAAGAAATAGGAATTAAATAAAAATTAAACACCATCGATTTAATTAAATCAAAAGCCTGTAATTTATATAAACACAAAGATTTTATGGCAGTTGTTAAAATGTGAACTAACCAAAGAGTATATAATTAACAATGTCATGTTGAAAGGCAATTAAAAGGTTAATGTTGCTATTTTCATAATTTCGAAAGCAGAAAAATATCACGTACGATATTACGACATAAAGGTTAATTTGTTATTGCTATTGTGTTTGGCTGCATCAATTTAAATAGTAAGGAATTACTAAGAGAACTCATGGCATAAGTTGCAAATCAATTGCCTCGGACAACATGGACGATCAGGTTCAGTATCAGTGTTAAAAACTACTATAAAGTCCTTGTGAGACTAAAGTTACTACCAAATGGTCGTCATAGTACTACAATGTTTGTAATAAAATGTCAAAAATCAAATAGACACAAAATATATCATATAAACTGTCCAGTGGACTGCAGTTGAAGTGACTCGAATATTCTTTGACGCAATTTGACATATAACCAAACTTTTTTGTTTTATTATTTTGCATTGAAGTCTCACTAAATTTTGTCGAAAATAATATCTTTAAAATAATTAAAAAGTGTACCATTAAAATGACGACAATTCGGCCGTTTACGTGTGAAGATATGTTATATTTTAACAATGTGTTAGTTCATCACAAACTTTTTCTTTTTTAATAATATATTGAGATTTCAGAACATTTTTTTTGTTACAGAAATTTAGATCCCCTTACGGAAACCTACGGTTTGGGTTTTTACACGCAGTACCTAGCACATTGGCCGGAATATTTTCAAGTTGCTGAATCGCCTAGTGGTGAAATCATGGGCTACAGTAAATGTCCTTTTTTGTCTCTTATAAGAATTTATTTGTATTAAAAAAGTAACTTAATGTTTTAACTCACTTTACAATTTGTTCTATGAATTGGAGTGTAAAATAAATTGCATTTCAGTAATGGGAAAAGCGGAAGGACATGGTGAAAATTGGCATGGCCATGTTACAGCCTTAACTGTTAGTCCCGATTACAGAAGATTGGGCCTAGCTGCTACTTTGATGAATTTACTTGAAGAAGTGTCTGAAAAGTAAGTCATTTTTAATTCTAGTTATTCTATCTTACTTATTAATTACGATTACTAAAGTTTTTATGTTAATAAATGTACTTTGATTTCAGAAAAAAGGCTTATTTTGTTGATCTCTTTGTGAGAGTCAGTAACAAAGTAGCAATTAATATGTACAAGAATCTTGGTTATATTGTATATAGAACTGTATTGGAATATTATTCTGGAGACCCTGACGAAGATGCTTATGGTAAATAATAAACTTTAGCTTTTTTTATATTAGAAATAACATTAATTACAGAAGCAAACATTTGTACCATCAAGAATAATTTTATAAATGCTATAAATTGCTACTAATTATTGTCACCAAGGTCTGCATCTTCACATTTGTTGCAATTGCAGTGCCTTTTGTAATGTGCACCTGCCTCTTCACTAACCTTGTCTTTGTGTACAAAATCCAACAGAAGATGGGTTGACATTGGCTATTGGGTGCAGAGTTTTTTTTATGTCCAATACTGGATGACAATGGAAATTGAAGCAATGAATGACTTATGCAATGTAAAGCAAATTTTTTTAACAGAATTTAAATTGTTTTCAGATATGAGAAAAGCCTGCTCAAGAGATGTGAATAAAAAATCTGTTATACCATTATCACATCCAGTTAGACCAGAAGATGTTGATTAAAATGTAAAAATAAATGTTTGAATTCAATACTCTGTTTTTTAAATAAAATAATTTACCTACCATGCATGTCTAATATTATGTCTGCTTTATTAATCAAATACTATTTAACAATGTAAAGAAAAATAATATCTTATAAAATACAAATTTATTTGTTTCTTTCAAGACTTAGTTGTATCATCTAATTCCGGAGTGCAAGGTGATTCATCACCTTGGCCTTCCTCTGTATTATTGGTTGGTTCTACTTCAACTTCTTTTTGTTTTCGCCAATTTTTAGCAGCTGCAAGCAATTTAAGATTCGGTCTGACCATTTCATCTTCTGGGAATATGTAATCGAATACTTCCTCCCAACCTTCTTCCACTCCAGTTTCGCTAACGATCTTTTGTCGTTTTTTGACTCTTCTAGGCATTTTGGACAACACCTTTTCAAGTTTTGATTCTTCGCCAATTTCCACTTCAAAATCTTTCCAAGCTTCTAAAAGAAGAACTCTCGACTCCTTTTCCCCGGCACTTCGAAGGCTGTCATTCGCACGTTCGTATATCCTTCTTGCTAACTCAACATTAATATTGTCGGGATTTTCTGCATTAAGTTCAAATTTAGCATATGACAACCAAACTTTTACATGAACAGTTCTTTCTAATAGTCTTTCGTATAATTGTCTAGCTTTTTCTGTTTCACCTTGGGATACTTCAAAATCAATGTAGCTTTTCCACAACAACTCTGGCATATCTAGACGTGGTTGGGAGACTGCTATTTCATAAATGGCTCGAGCTCTATCAATGTCACCAAGCAATGTCTCCAATTCAGCAAATTTAATCCATGTTATACAATTTTCAGGTCCATACTCAAGAAACTTTTGGTATAATATTCGGCATCTATCAAATTCTCGTAATTGAATTTCTAAATCAATATATCCTCTGTATAACTTATCTCTGGGGCATATCCCTAATGCCATTCCTAATGTCTTTCTAGCTTGCTTTAAGTTTTTACATCTTACTTCTAGTTGTGCATACATTAACCAAATTTTGGAAAATGTAAATATTTTATGAGGAATGAGTTCCAAACAAGTTCTGTATACTTGTCTGGTCCTTTCAATATCTTCAGCTTCTAACTCTTCATATAAAGCATAATTGATCCATAAGTAAATATATCGTCTCCAGAATTGTTTGTCTTTTGATGGCGGTACGTTAGCTATTGCTCTTTCATATGTATCTCTTACATCATCCACATTTCCTTCATTTTCAACAAGCCGTATATAGTCAAACCATGCATCATAATTTGTAGGATTTTCTATTACCTCTTGCTCATACATATATTTTCTCTTGTTAACAATGACATCTTCAATTCCAGACCTATCACCATATTTCTTCTCATGAATTGTGTATGCTTTATACAATTCTTTGTTCTTATCTTTTGGAATATGATCTAAGGCATATTTATATATGACCCTAGCTCTATCATGTTCTTTTTGATTCTCTTCAAATTTAGCGAAAGCTATAAACAATCTTTCATCAATTTCTTCATCTCCAAAGAACTCTACTGCCCTTTCATACACTTTTCTTGCACTGTTAATGAACCCATGATTTTCTTCAAATCTTGCATATTTAATCCAGTGTTTTACATCAGGATGGACCATGACAAATCTTTCATAGATTTGTCTTGCTCTATCCAATTCTTTGTAGCGCAATTCGAAGTTAATGTATGTCTGCCATGCTTGTTCATCTGGTTGCCATTCCATCCAACGCTCAAATACCTTAAATAAACAATACTGGTTTTACATGGGAAATTTTATTGATCGCAATACTGAATATAAAGCAAGAACTCATTGCTGCTGGTAAAAACATTCTAAATTGTATTAACAATATTGTATCAGTCTTAACAATCATTGTAATTGAGTGGCTTTTAAACAGGTCAGCTATTACTAGAGACAAAACAATGTCTACTTACTTGTCTTGCTCCAGCAACATTCTCCAACATTTCTTCCATGTATGTATACTTATACCAAAACTGGGACACTCGTGGTAATATTGTAACAGCTCTGTCCCATAAATTACGAGCATGGTTCACCTGTCTGTTACGCATTTCCATCTCTGTGTACTTAAGCCTGTAAAATGAAAGTGTGAAAGTGTAAATAAAGTATATATCAGACTAGATACAATAGAATAACATTGGCACAACAGACATAACTTTGTTTGTCTTATCTTAAGAAGTAAACTTGATTATCATACCACAGGGTAACATTTCTATGATCCACATCCAAAGCCCGCTCATAAATTGAACGGGCTCTCTGTATTTGCTTCTGCGATTCCTCCCATTGGGCATATTTAAGCCAATTACCTATTACCTGAAAGAAATTCAACAAAAAAGTTAGTATATTTTACTTACTGCACTGGTGCAATAACACAAAGTGGGTCTGGGGCTTGAAACACTCCATTTAACTAGGCAAGTTTATTTGCTGAGTTTGTACAACAAAATCATGTTATAAAATAAAGGAGTGGAATATAAAATACAGGAGGAAGTACAAGTTAATTTAAACAAATATGTTTAATTCGAGAATTTAAAATAGCAAAAATTCCTAATTATTATCGACAGTTCTTGGCAAACATATTTGTCAAAGATTTGATTTGGGCGATTGATACTAAATCACTGAAGGTCTAGTTATTTTATATGATTTGAATCTCACTTGTCTATTTTTGCGTATATTATCCTCAAATGCTTTTCGTTTACGATGCTGATAGTCTCTAAGCTCTTCCGGATCTGATATCTTTTGTTTTGGTGGTGGTGGTAAGATCTCTAAATCTCGTTCCTTGGCTTCCCGTAATAGTTGCTCGGCTGTTATTTGTATTTCTGCAGGAGCTTTGTTTTTGACCTGAAAGATTTGAAAGTATTAAGCAAATACTTATGAAGAAAAGAGGTTAAAAAAGTATTAACAGTTTTTCTTACTTTAGCCACTTTGGGCATTTTCGTGGCCTTTCCGTCCATTGTTAAATCTAATGTAAAACTTTATAAGTTAAGCTTAATAATACCGTACAAATCAAAACAAAAATCTATAATTCTGAAATTCGATCAAAAAACCAACACACAACAAGACCGAAGAGCAAAGCCAAAGAGTATGTCGCAGAGTATGTTAAGTAAATATTAAAATATATAGACTATCAAAAAATTTAAAAAAAAATAAAGCATTCAATTTTATAACATTAAAAAAAAGTTGATCCCTATAAATATGGTTACCTAAGTTTAATCATTTTTTTACGTTTAGGCCTTTTGCAACGATCACAGTGCACTTCCAGGCTCCACTTTTATTTTTTTGATGAGGGATGGCTACATGGCTATTTTATATACGCTTTGGCTACATATCTGTAACCTTACGACAGGCCTAATGCTTTTTCCCAAAGTAATGAACATTTTCCTAATTAGATATGACCTAAAGGTCTATGTTACCAGGTCTTAAAATTTAAAAAAAAATCTTACGACATTGACATAAGTTGAATTAAACATTATAGGTTATGTTTTGGTCAAAGAGTATAATAAGTATACTATAGACTAAATACTACACGTAAATTGACAATACAAAATGATACATAATAATGTGGCGATTTTATTTTTTATCAACACCCTTATATTCATTACCGAAAATTTAAGAAACTACGCCTACTCTAAAGGACACTCGTAGTGTTTTGATACAACTCTGTTGGATTTTTTTTTACTGGATAAACGCAAACGAAACTGCAAACGAGCAGGCGGGAGTCAATAGATCAAACTCAATCACGTAAATTACACCAAAGAGTATAATAAGTATACTATAGAAAGAGGGGCAACTCGCACGAAGTCGTGGATCCACGGCGATTGTGGCGCTCCATGCGTATAATCGCTGAACTAATTTTTTTTTTTTTTGGTATCTATATA